GCAGGTAGTACCGTGCGCCGGCCGGAGCGCTGTTTCAGCTCATATTGTCCGCGATAGTACACCTCAGCACTTTTTATGAGTTATGAATGCGAAAGCACGCACACCGCTCTTTGCTCCCTTTAATCTGCGGAGTACAACACGCTGACCTTGGGCGTGGAATGGTGGAGCCACTGCCGCGCGCGGACACGCAGCGCCATCGGGTGAGCGATCGTTCAAACTACCGTGTGCCTTGCGGCGCGAGGAAGGAACAAACAGCAACGTACTTCCCAGCAGAACTAACCCCTTCGTTTATTCCATGCGCCGTATATATTGACACGCGCCGTACAACCGATAAGAGGCGAGCGAACGCGGTGATCAGTGATAACACAACAATGTGATAACACAGTGAGGATGACACTACACAAACTGATGCGCAGCGGCCAATGTGAGCCTCGTTGACGCGCGCCAGCCAATGGGACGGAAGTGTAAAAGGTGCCGTTGGCTAGCTTTGCGCATGGTTTCATTAAGTTGCCGTTTAGCATGGTTTCAAAGCTGATGACGTCGGCTCGCTCCATGAGACAGTTAACGCTTTCGAATTAAAAAGGAAGAACAGAATTAAAAAAAAAAGACAACGTGATCAGCTCCGGCATGTATAGCCAGAGGGTGCAATGCACTTTAGAACCAACTGCCTAAGCTATATGCTTACGCTAGCTTCTATATCGTTCTCTGGATCACATATCTGTAGAGATGACGATTCAGTTGTGTTGTTCACTGCGGACACGTGCCGAGTATATTCTGGCGCGCAGAAAAAAAAAATAGAAAAGCTCGTCTCCTCGATATTATAGACTGAAGCGAGAGTTTATCTATCTCTATTCACCTACCCGCTCATCACCAGGGCGAAAAAGGCCAAGTGAGCAGGGCTGAGAGCACATGCGCGGCCACAAGATATATATATTAAAAAAAATACAGCGGAAGTTTAGAACGCGTTTCGTAGCCCAGAAGACAAAGATGGCAACTCGCAGAAGGTGATTTCTGGAACGGTCTATGCTTTGCATATATAACTCACATCGTAAAGGTTACACACTTGCGACTGCTTACGACCGAGTGCAATACGACCTCCTATCTTACGACTAGAAAACGGAATGGCACGCTCCATGGCGCCATCTATGAGGTGACTCCGGAACTGCATTTCAATATAGAGCGAAGGATTTTCAGTATTTGCGAGATCAAATGTGGGTGCTATCTATGAGAAACGATCGTTTATAGCAATGTAAAAAAACTTTTTGCCAATAATAATAGAAATGTGCGCAAAAAAAAACGAAGGAAATCTACGGAAATTGCGAGTCTTCCACGGCTGGTTGATAGATGGCGCCAGTTTGTTCTCTCTTCGTAAGAGGGAACACTCTGGTGCCCCATTCTCCTCCCATAAGATTATAGAAGATTATTCCTTCACTCAAAAATCTTACAAAAGCGGCTTCTCTCTCCTCCTCTTACATGATGGTCAAAAGTATGCGATGTGACGTCAGTGTAACCCATGTTTTTAGGGCAGCCCGCGGAATCATGTGAAGAACGCAACTCACTTTGCGCTCAAGCTGTGTTGTTCGCGGGCAGCCCATCGACACAGAGACCGACCGACTGACCTTGCGGTTCGATCTGTGAAGGAGTAGCGCGAAGATGCCGGGCGACAGGTCTTGCCCATCAATCTTCCGGTCCGAAACCAGACACTCGGCCACCCGCCGCGAATTGACGCGACACGTCCCGCGACCCGAGGCATTCGCTGACGTCCCGACACACGGGAGGGGCAGCGAAGCTTACGACCGGTTAATTTGCCACTTGATATGAAATACGTTAACGGCTTTTAAACGAGTATACGATCAATCTCGTTGAAAGTTTTAGTTACAGCTAAGGCTGGTTGATTGTTCGGCTAACCTTTTCGGTTAATCAATTACAACTGTTATTGCTATTTTTTTTTTTTTTAGCCGGTAAGTCGGTTTGGATTTGAATCAGAAATTTCGAGAAAGTTATGTCATGTTTCATACGTACTTGAGGCCACTTTAGCAGGTTCAGCGGGCTTCACTAAAAAAAAACAAAAAACATGCCTTTGTACTTTTTTTGTTTGTATTTGGCACAGCATCAAGTTTTGAACGAGGTTGTGCATTGTGCCACTGATGGCATAGCAAGAAATAGTAAAATAAAAATGTAATTTGGTCACTTTTTTTTGGGAGGGGGAGGGGGAGGATATTATGCTTGAAGGTCAACGTTACCGCCTATTCGATTAATTAATAAATTAAATGGTAGTAATTACTTGGGGTAAATTTTTTACCAAGCACCCGTACATTGATAATGGCGTAAAACTGGCAAAACTATACAAAAACCATTATGCTGATCCGGCACGAGTGTAGGTGAGCTGCACGGCGTTTTCTTGACATTAATAAATTTATAGTTTGGCGTGTTAAGTGATGATTTGTAGAACCGAGAGCGTATATTACGAAACTATATACCGTTAAAATCGCCGAAAAACTGAGAAGGTCGCTATTATTTTCACGTTCCATGCGCAAAATATGCACATTTCGCTCGATCGCTCCAAATGTGCACATTTTGGAGGGTGCCCGTCACGCTGAGTTTTATGGGTTGGTTTTTCTCCCTTTCTTTTTCAGCGTATTGACGTGAAATAAAGATAATACTACTTTGTCTCGTAGTTGCTTCTACACTGTGCGCTGCCTTGGTTGTCCCTCGTATGCTCAACTCTTTCTGAAGTACGATGTGAAGTTTTCAGCACACGGGCTCAAAACGGCGGAGCGTATCAGAGCAACTGTAAGTTTCCCCACAAAATAACATAGTTATGATCTATTTTTATATACGAACATGTGGCGTTATGTCGAGACTTGCTTGGCGAAAAATACGAAGCAGCTTGCCCACAAGCCAGGCGTCGGAAAAGCCAAGTTTACGATGTTGAGCAGAAACGACAGATCGTGAATCGTCTACTGTAACAAGCAAAGCGCTCTTTTCACGGGTATTCGGGAGGAAATTGAACAGTCACGCCTCTAGCAGAACGCCTCAGTTGTGGGGAAAATAAACTTAATTTTCTTGCTTGTTTTTAGAGTGCAGCTCTTAGGCGCCTGTTTCCGGCTTGAGCGGCGTCGCCGTCGCCGTAACCGCGCGTTGCATTATGGGACGTTTCCCATAATGGTGTCACAAGTGACGTCACGTGTGACACCACGAGGGTCACGACTGGCGTAACGATGGTCACTCGTGTAGGCCCCGACGAAGGTCACGAGGGAGGAGGGAGGGAGGGAGAGGAAGGGAGGAGGAGGAAGTCAGGAGGAGGGGAGGAGAAGGAGAGGAGGAGGAGAGGGAAGTGGAGGAGGATGGAGGAGTAGGGGGTACGGAGGAAGAGGAGAAGCACCCTCCTCTCCGTACCCTCTGCTGCTCTTCCTCAAGAGCTGCGCTCTAATTCGGCATTAAAAGCAATTGTAAACGCCTTTCATTATATTTAAAAGAGAAATCGAAGATGACGATTTCAACACCTCGTCCGACGAAAGCACTGGTCAGAGCGAAGTGCTCGTGGTCAGACCGTGCTAGACGAGGTTCAATTCTTTGTCATGATGTGTTAGTAAACAACGGGTTGTGGGGACAACAAGCTCGATATAGTGTCCCCTATAGTTCGATATTCTGCCCAATAGCCACTGACAAGGTGAGAACAACAGAGTTCTCCAGCCACCAGCGCGAGCTTCACATACCTTCGACAGTTCTTCGGCGTCTCGCCTACCTCGAGCGCGCGCGCTCTGCCAAAGCACTGCGGAAAGCCTGTAGCACGTGTCGGAGGCTGTACGTCGTTCGAAAGATACGCCCTGCCGTTTTCATTTTGTCAGCGACTAATCGCAGAGCCAAGAATTAGGACAGCCAAACGAACTTTAAAAAGTGCACCGTTCTAAACAAATGCGATTTCTGTGATACCCATCACGGCGCTCTTCCAAGACGCTGCTGCTACCATCTCTTATTTTCTCACCAACCCACACCTCACATAAAGCCGTAAAAAATATTCGACCATCCGTATACGTAAGATATACGAACGCTTCAAATAACATTCGGCTACATTTTGGTATAATGATGTTGCTTTGCGTGCCCTATTTTTCTAATATTCAATCACGCGATACATAACCTCAGTCGCAAAATATTTATCGCTTTTTGCTGCGATTCAACCTAACGCAGAATCTTGACTTATTTCTGCGATTGGAAACCTTTCAGGGAGGACCGACTTGGAGCCGCCATATTACTGATCTCCCCTTGTTTTGCTTCACGGTTATTGACATGAGGTATACAAAAAGCCTGCGTTGCTGGCAAGAACACTGTGCTGCTTATAAAGACAAAAAGATCTCGTGCCACCCTACTGAAGAATGAAGTGAACGGAATAAATAAAGACAAGACGTGAAAGCCAATTAATTCAGCGCCCACGCACGTACCCGCAATTATCACAACACCATGCATGGCCCGCTGTACACATGGTGTTGTGTCCGTCATCTGAATTAAATAAAGAAATATCGTTACCCGTTAGTGTGTCAAAACCTAGTGAGTTACTGACGTTTGTTACCGTCCTGCAAATATAGCGTCCCTCTATAAGTAGTTTAAATTTCGGTATTATTATTTGGCAGTGACATAAAGCGTATACGAAGTTTGAGAACAACTCAACTGTTACGGGGTAATATTATAAGATGTTTGATCATTTTTTTATCAAATTTTTAGAATACAGCGATGCCCCGATGATGCGTTAGCCCCTTAAAGGGACCGAGAAAGTGACTAATTTTAATAAAAAGTGACGAGTAAAGTCATATTCGACAGACAATATCCTAAAATAGGGCCGAAATTATTTACTCGTTACAGATTCCGGATTTTACCGAGCACGTTAGTACGTTGCTGAAAAACCTAAAGCGTTACCAGTAACGTTGTTATTTGTAACGCGTTGCGTTCAGCACTGACTGTCCAAGCATCTGGCTAATTCTGTCCCTCCCTCTCTTCTCCAGGCCAGGGCCGAGTGAACCAGCTCGGCGGCGTGTTCATCAACGGCCGCCCGCTGCCCAACCACATTAGGCTCAAGATCGTCGAGATGGCCGCGGCCGGAATCCGGCCCTGCGTCATCTCCAGGCAACTGCGGGTGTCGCACGGCTGCGTCTCCAAAATACTCAACCGATACCAGGTGAGACCGCGGTGGCAACGCGTCCCGACCTCGCCAAAACGCCTACAAAGACGTATTAGGGCGTGGCTCGCACGTGACGTTATCACATCACGCTCGTGGTCATTCCTTGTTCTTCCTGAGTGAAACTATAATTCGATGGTGCGAATGGTACGCTGCAGTAGCTACATGCTGAAGGTTGAAGTGACGCCAGTGCATGCAATGAATATCCATTGCGAGTTCTGTGTTCATGTGGACGTAGTGTGGCAAGGTGATGCTGAGCTCAGAGAAGTTACATTCACACACACCCTGCAAATGCTTGGTTTATCACTTGAGACACCAGACTGGATGCCACGTTTGCAAATGCTTACATAAGCTCCCATGTGAGAAAATGCAGGCATGTGAAGAAAGGCACCTTCCGAACGCGCATGTCGTGCCTGACTTAATCGGCCGTGTGTTACGAATAGCACGAGCACATTTCGTTTCTACTTATCATTGTTTGCATCAGCCGCAAGAAAAGTTTATCATCAAAATACAATGCCTGTCTAAAACTACTCCGCTACAAAAAAAAAATATATTCTAAAACGCATGTTAAAAAAAAAAGCCGCCAAATGTCAAAAAAAAAAAATCTTGTGATTTTTTTTTTTTTTTTTTAGGCTAGTAGAAATTAAGCTATATAGTAAGTCCTCATTTCGGACTCTTCTTGTTCACGTTCCGCCCGTTAAAAAGCGCAACGAAAGAACCCAAACACTCTTTTGTATCGCCACTCCACCACCTACTTCCGCACGATGAAGTCCGTCTGTTATGGTCACAGTCCCTAGGGCAACGAAGAGTCTGCTCAACAGACGCAAACGCGAACGCAGCGTCTGAAGCCAGCAGAGGCAAATTTCTGCATACAGTCCACTAAAGTCAACGCTGCAACGCTCCAGCCACAGCCAGACGCGACGTACCGTTGGCAGTGATGGCGACGACAGAGTTGCAGGCCGTCGGCGAACGAAATGAAAATTGATGTCGCTGTCCCATAATAAGGCGGAGCCTCTTTTGTGGGCTCCAACCTAGGCCTCTAAAGATACTGCGCTTCGCGCTAACACCCCTATAGCTTCGCTCCACTCCTCTCGTGGAAAATTGATTTTACAATCACTGACCCAAGCTTGCAACAAGCCGCCTCGTCGGAACCGCCAAGGGTTCGGCAGGCGACCTAGCCGCTCTCAGTGTCGAGCGCCACAATGGCGCTCGGCAATGCATGCTAGAGCTTTGACAACGGGGCACAAAATATTTGACGCCGGATATAATACAAGGCGTGCGCACGAACTCACCCAAGGTTAAGTCACGGTGCGAGGGTGTCACCTGCTGCAATTGATGAATACGCTCAAAGTGTGTAAAACAACACAATTTAGTTTGTCAGCATTAAAGGAGTCATGAAACGAATTTTGGGTTGGGATGAATGATTTTTAATTGGGACTTTACTAATCGCATATCGTTTAGTTGGCTAAAAGAAAAAAGGTAGAAAATCAAAAACCAGCTTTTCGGTACGAACATTTGAATATATGGCGAACTATTTTGTACCTTCTTTCTTTCAAAAGTTCTCCGCCTTTTCACTATAATACATCCGCGATTCCCAAATCGCGTCAGCGGCGTCAACCTGACGTCAGCCGACCCCAGCTGACGCATTGGACACGAGAAGTGCGTCAGTCGGGCGTATGCACTCGTCAACAATCAATCCGTCGACGAATATTTGGATTTGCGATCGTGGCCATTGAGTGCCCTGACGGAACTTATCGTCACCGGGGAATAAGAAGTTCTATAGTTTGCATAAAAAGCACAGTGGAAGCTGAAGCTAGGAGTCATCGTGTTTTCTGCAAAATAAGTAAAGTAAAGCTAAGTACGCGGACGGGCGCTTTGCCGAGCGGTGGGTGCGTGCCCGCGCCTTAGGCACGGGGTTGGCTAGCTTGAAAGACTATATACTGTACATAGCGCGTTCTCGGGTTTTGGTGTTGTTATGGGCATGACACCACTGTTGTAAATAAAATTTTCTAAACAACAGTAATCGCACCGGTGCCGAAGAATGTCACAACGACGTGATTTCACAATTTGCATTTGAGTTGAGGATTAAAGCTAAGGAGGAAGAAGTAGGAAAATTGCTTCATGACCCCTTTAAGCTTGCTTTAAACTTCCACTATGCGAGTCTCAGTACTACCACAGATGTCTGTAACCTCTTCTTTTTTTTTCCGCGTGTAATGACATTTTAATCCGAAAGGTAGCTAGCCAGAAATATAAGACAAGTAATGAGTTATTTGTGAAAGCTGGTGGCGAGTAACGCTTAACGGTAACACTTCGTAGGTACTCCTCTCAGCCGCGTAAAAATTCCTCGCCGGATTATTCAGCATGCCTAATCACGCTGAACTCGCATCGGCACGCTTCCTACAACGAAGCCTCTTTGATGACCTCCTCCGTCATTCTGCCGTTACGTCCGATACACTTGTATACAAACCAAAGGTCAGTCCATATTTAGAACGAAACGACGGAGACCCAGGAAGGGGGGGGAGCAAGTCAACGCAGGACAGAGCAGAGGGGTTTATTGATGTTATGGCCGTGACCGTGTGCGAGACGTAAGCTGTGGTCTCCGCTCGACCACCACCGTCGAGGTCCGGGAAAGGCTGACTCGCTGACTGACCTTCGCCGTCTCGCCTTCCGAGATCTGGCTGCGTCAGCGGTGCGGGGCTCGCTTGTCCACGGTACGCGCGCGCGCTGCTGACGCCCGAATCGAAAGGGCAATTAGGTGCGCGCTTGAAATCGCATGACACGGACGAGGCGCCTGCGAGGCGTCGGGGGACGGCTTCTGGCGAACCGACCACCCACGAGCAGCAGCAGCCGCCGTACTGCACGTGACCGCTGCCAGGTTCGCAAATGAAATGCCCCTCTGTTCCGTCGGTTGTTTAGGTATGTCTAGGTTTGTTCAGACAAGGTGCATTCTCTTCTTTTAGTTCTGAACGGGAGAGAGAGAAAAAGAAAGAAATCAAAATAGAAGCAAAAACTTGCATGGTTGGAGGAAGAGAAGGGGATGGGGGCAAGGGCGTGGGATTTGTACCGTGTCCACAAACACGAATTCAAACTATACAAAGAAGCGTTTCTCGGTGGTAATTAGGTTGCTCTAATCGTTGTTTATTGTTCCACGCGCTGCAACTTTCGAGTGAGCGAAATCGCATTAACCCGTAATTGGAAAAGATACACCAAAGGCGGCGCCACCCAGTTACTCGGAAACCTGTTCTCTTTAGACTGATAAATGTCAACTTTCCTTTTTCGTGTGGTAGGTTTTTATCGTAATAATAAACAAAGCTCGCATGTGTACCTTCCCGCAATTTCTGCAGAAGGACAACAGCGACGGGGGGGGGGGGGGGGGGGGGGGGGATCGGTGGACGAGAGGGCTAGAGCACACCAGAGCCGTGTATAGACCTTTTCCACAAGGGCGCCGCCATCTTGAATTGTCGTCACTTCCAGTATGGGCGAAAACGTAACTTTGCCGTTGCCACGCCGATAGAAGACATTTAGGATATAAGCCTAACCGTCACACATTCTCGTTTTGGCTCCACTCTATTTTTTGACTGGTTACAGGTTGAAAGTTTTACTTTTTTTTCGTCGCCCATACTGGAAGTGACGACAATTCAAGATGGCGGCGCCCTCGTGGAAAAGGTCTATAGAGAGAGTTTTGTCAATGGGAGGAGCGGGCAGAGCCAGGGTGTGCGCCAGACGCAGAAAGAGGGCTTGGCATGCCACTTGGCCAACCAGAAGCCGAAAAGAAGCCCCTAGCGGTTGTAGCGAGAAACAGTTTTAATATGAGCGTAAGGGTCAAATGTAGTAACTCTTTAGGGTTGAAGATATGGTGTACCTGATGTTTCGATTTTGATCATGCAAAAAGATCTAAGAAACGAATGTGCCGCTCGAACTCTGTTTTGCTCGGAGTCTCGGACATAGTGTGACCGATCGGCGCTCAGATGGCCGATTCTCGGCATTCGGCCCCTGGCGTACGGATGAAGTCCATCGTTCCGTCGCGCTCTTCCACCGTGATTTTAGATGACCGTGATTGAAACATGGCGTGCACTATATTTTGAGTCACCAAAAGTTACTCCGACGCACTTATTAATTTCGTTTCGCGCGACCACCGCCAGGGTATTATTTCCGGCTCCTGGTTGGCCACATTCGAATTTGTGAAGATGCCCTGGAACACGCCCATCCCACATTCGGCCAATGGCGCCTCTTCACCTTGCCTCCTCCTATACTTCTCAATGAATGGCCAAACTATCTCTATTGGCAACGTGACCGATCAAAAGCGTCGCGGTGGTCGGCCCCCCACGATTGGCCGAATGCTGACTTTCTTTGACGTCGGCGAAGGATTCCAGATCGACGGAAATAAGAGTAATGTAAGAACTTCGATTTTGACGGTGTTGGCAGTATTGGTTTAAAAGCACAATGATTTCCAGCTTCCACCATGCTAATTACAAACACCATCGAACTTGTTCGCAGGGTAATAACGTCACGAGAGGTAACCATAGGAAGGCGCCACCCAAACATCTCGCCGCTAATACACGGCTCTGGCGCACACTAGCTCGGAGCACGTGAAGCGAAAACTCGCGCTGCAGAACCGAGGGATCTTGAGCTGAGAAACCATGACGCCCATTGACGCAGGCTAACTTCCAGCTGTATAAACATACACACAACATATTATTATTATTAGACAGTTTTAAGGCTCGTTCACACAGACCCGTTTTCTTACGTTACGTTACGAAATGTCCTCGGAAAATCTGTGCTTCGTATTAAGCGTGGCTGCCAATTCAAGGAGATAGCCTGGCACGCGACATTCTAAACACAAATGTTTCGGTGACGACGAGCTAGGACGGTGAGTTACAGAGGCAACCAAGGACACAAGGCTCGTCGTAACGTAACGTAAGGAGTTGAGCTCGGTTCAACTCTTCATACAGCACCGTTTTCTTACGTAACGTCTTAGTCACCGAAACATTCGTGCCTCG